GAGCCAGGAAAGCAAGTAAATGGGGGACTGGGGTGCAGGGAAGATCGGGTGAGACTGAGCTCCAGGTGCTGCAGAGGGTTTACAACCTTCTCAGTCCCTCGCCCAACCATTGTTCCAAGACACTCCAAGTAAACCTGAAGTCTTTGTGAAAGCAGACCTGCTTCCTAGGAAATAGTGGCTTCATAGCAGTGTCCACCGCACACCGCCTCCACCCCACACACCCACAACCACGGCTTTAAACCGCACTGCTGACCCTAGACCGCTTCACTCTCCTGGCCATAAATTATAGAGCTGCCAGCACTTTGAAGTAAAAAGGAAGACCCAAAGCATCTAGTTCTGTAGGGCCATCTCCCATGCAGGCACAATACATAGAACAGCATCTGGAAATGCGTTGAGTTTGAAACCCACGTCTGCCGTACAGGTGCCCTCAATGTACCGAACCTCTGGCACATCTTAGCAACACTGCACTGTCATCCCGTGGCTGATGGAGCTAGAGCTGCTGTGGCTGCAGCATTGTGAGAGAGGATCCTACTGCATACTGCTAGCCTGGGAAAAGAACTAAAATTTGAAGTACAACACTTAAATTAAACAAAAAAAAATTGAAAGTAGAAACATTGTAAGATGGGGCCATCTATACCTGCCTTGTGTGGTCTTGTATGATTTATATATGCTCGCAAAGCCTCATAAAATGGGATGGTTGCAGTACCTCTCTGGGGGTTGGGATTATTGGATGTGGTGTAGCTGTCAGTGCTGCTATGATAAAATATCTGATGTTGGGTAATTTATAGATGACAAGGGTATTTCTTACATTTCTGGAGGTTGGGAAACCCATGTAAAGGCACCAAAACAAGTTTGCTGCAGCCCTTCCGTAAGGTGATGGCCCCATCTTCATGGTCTAATTGCCTTTAAAACCTTCACTTTTGGGGATGAAGATTAAACAGATGAGAGCTGGGGACATAGCTCAGCGGCACAGTGCCTGCCTGGCAAGTGTGAGGTCCTGAGTTTGACTCCTGGTACCAAAGGGGAAAAAAAAAAGATTAAACAGATGAAATTGGGACTCCTCCTGCCCCCCTCCCTAGCTGGGATTACAGTTGTGTGCCACCACCACATCTGGCTCTTCTGTCTGGATTTTGAAAAGCATTTCTCAAATTACTCTGAAGGCAAAGCCATTTTGAACACAAACTATTTGCTTTCTCAGAAAGTTCTAATGATCTCTACTCTTTAATTTTTGGAATGTTGGATGATATATTTTGTATGGGCCTTTTTCAGTCCTTCTTCTGGGTCTTCGACAGACCTTTTCAATAGGTCTGTATCCTTCAGTGCTGGGAAATGTTCTTGTATTGTTTATTACTGATCTCTTCTGTTTGTTTTTTCCAGTAGTGGAGATTGAACCCAAGTCCTTCACACTGAGCTATATCTTTAGCCTCTAATTCATTTTAAAATTTTGAGACAGGGTCTCAGTTGCTAAATTGCCCAGATAGGACTCTTGCTTGGGCTTGGCATTAAAATGCCACCAACAATATGAAAATTTGTGGGGAAATGGGATGCTGACATTTTTTACTCTAAAATGAATTATAAATGGAGCAAAACTTCAAGTTACAATAAATAAATTACAAGAAAAATACATATCTTTTGTTTTTGTTGAGACGGGGTCTCACTATAATTCAGGCTGTTCTCAGCCTTGTGAGTGCTGGGATAACAGACGTGCACCACAACACCCAGCAAGAAAAACATTTTTAGACTTAAGAGTGAACAAGTCCTTTTTTTTGTTGATTTTTTTGAGACAGGTTCTATGTAGTATAGGCTGGCCCTGAACTCCTGATCCTCCTGTCTCAGCTTCCTGAGTGCTGAGATTACAGCCGTGCACCACGACACCCAGAAAACAAGGTCTTTCTAAACCTGACCAGGGCCGGGGATATAGCTCAGTGGTATAAGTGCCTGCCTGGCAAGCGCAAGGTCCTGAGTTTAATTCCCAGTACCAACAAAACAAAACAAACAAACAAAAACTTCTGGTCACCAAAACAGAAGTCACAAAGAAAAACGCCCAGAGAAGTGTGGCTTCATAACTGATTAAAACTTAACCACACTGTGAAAATAAATGAACATATAAACAAAATTACAGGGCTCACTTTTGCAGCACATATACTAAAATATAAACAAGTGACAAACTAAGAAAAATCTACAACCATAGCACACATTAATTTCCTAACTGTAGAGCCAGGTGTAGGGGCACATGCCTGTAATCCCAACACCTAGGAGGCTGAGGCAGGAGGATCTTGCAGGTTTGGGGCCAACCTGGGCTACAAAGGGAGTTAATGGCCAGCCTGAACTACACAGTGAGACCCTGTCTCAAAAAAACAAAAATTTTGTAACTATACAATAAATTCCCAAATCATAATGCAAAGATAATAGAAGAATGGCAACAAATATAAAGTTTTTTGAATAGAAAGGAAATACAGTTGCTCAACCACACTCAAAAAATACAAATGAGACACTTTTCCACAGAGGACTAGTAAAAAATAGGACTACCTTTATTATTATGCATATTTTTAAGAGCATTCTTAGAAACAAGTACAGTAGTATTCCCTTATACTGTTGGGGAGAATATAAAATGGTACTATTCTTTTATTTTTTTATTTTAAAGAGAGTAGCATATGAGAAACAAACAAAAAAATAAAAATATGGAACGCTTCACGAATTTGCGTGTCATCCTTGCACAGGGGCCATGCTAATCTTCTCTGTATAGTTCCAGTTTTAGTATACGTGCTGCCGAAGCGAGCACGGTACTACTCTTCCGATGATCAATTTGACCCAAATTTTAAAAGTACAGTTTGGCAGGGCAATGCCTGTCCACGTATCTTTCAGATATATTCACTTGCACACAGACTTACCTGTATGCATGGAGCTTCTTCAGGAATTTTTTGTAATCACAAAAATCTGAAGTCAACAAATTGTAAATGGAAAATTATAATTAATCCATCAACTATGAAGATAATTCTCACAGAAAAAAGCATAGTGGAGGTATAGTATTGATGTGGTCTTAAAAATCCTGAATTGCTCAGTAAGAGCAAGATCTTGAACTGCATGTGTGGTATGACCCAATTTCCAGGGGGAAATGCACAGGGTTGCCTTGGGGAGTGATTGTGCGCAGGTTTGGTTGGGGGGGGGATGAGGGGAGCTTTGGCTCTTCATACCTTGTGAACACACTGAGGTGCTCTCGGGCAGCAGGTACTGTACACCTTTCCCGTGCTCTGCTGTCCCTTTGAGCAGGTTTCTTCCTGTGACACCTGCATCACCAGTCTCTGCTCATGGTACGCTCTTCCTTTCTCTTTGTAGGTCTGTTCTGTCCATTTTTCAAGGACCAGTACTTCAGACCATTACTTTCATGGGAACTTCTCAATCTCTTCAAATTATCCTACTTTCTTCCTCCTCAGTATTATTGCTATACCTAGCTGAGAAATCATAATTTTTATTTGTTGACTTTCTCCAATTTTGAAGCATTTTAAGAGGAGAAAACATGCTTCATTTTGTCTTCCCTGCCCTCACACTCCGGCATTTTGAAGCACAGCATTAATACTTGAATATATGTTACTGCTTCCTCCATATATACACTTTACTTACCAAAAAAAAAAAAAAGCAGAACCTTGTCATTGACTCCTTCGTCTTGAGGCCTGCATCTATTTTCTTTATTTAGGGATGTGCAGATGGCATAAAATTGATTTTTTTTTCATAAAATTGAATTTTTAGGGTAAATGCACATTTTGTACAGCTGGAATCTCTCACTCAAGGCAATCCTAAGAAAACAGATCTAATTTATTTACAATTCTGACAGTAAGCAGACGCTTATTTAAATTAGCTAACAGCTTTCTATCCTCCCCCCATAAATACAATAAAAAACAATGAATATTTCAGTAACAGGAACATAAGAATGTGAAATCTGATTAATGAAGATAGATATAACAGTGTAATATCAACTTTATCCAGTGTAAGAACATTTTAAAGCTTTATTTTATAAAACACTTTAGAGTTCCTTATAACAGCATATCAAAAGTGAAATGTACACATTGATTTTATACTCCATGTTAAGTCCCAAATTCCCAATCCTTGGTAAGAGAGCAAGTTGCAAGATACAAGTATTGAAAACTAAACTATAGGTAGTATGTTAAACAAAAAATAAGTTTTTTAGCACTTAAGTGAAATGAGGCTTTAATCAAAAAAAGACTGTAATTCCACAGTCTTTTTTCCAAAAGCAGTAATTAAGCCAATCAAGCCTGTGACCCCAAGCTCACGTGACAGGTATGCTTGAAGCAAATGAGAAAATATAATCAATGCTAAGCGGCACTCAGCACGTACTATATTTCTGCATTCAATTTTAGAACTTGTTCTACAGTCTAATGAGAAAAAAGGACCAGAGAAAACAGCTCTGACCCCACGCTGGGGAATGCAGTTAACTTTATGTCCAGCACAGAGGTACATTACAAAACTGGCAGATGTAATCAGCTTCCCACACTGAATGATTCACTGAAGCATACTTCCTTCAGCTACAATTCTCATTAAGGAACACACACATTCTTAACAGAAGAAAATTCTGTACTTCCAGTTTTAAAAAGCAAGCAGTTTTATGAAGAAGCAACCATTTATATATCTGAGAATACACATTTAAGTTTTCACAACTCCATACCTAAGAGGAACTTTCAGAACTATCATTTCACAGATCTTGTGCCATATTTACACAGTTCATATTTTCTACATTAGAAACTGTAAATGGCAAAAAATAATAATAATCACAAAACTTTATAAAATTCAAGTTTCCAGTGATTTTTTAAAAAAGTGTAACTGTCATTGTTCAGCTAAGATATCCAGTTATGGCATATAGAAAATCCTAGATATGTGAAAAAAAAAATCCTAATAGCTTTTATATGTATATACTGGGAATTGAACCCAAGGGCTTTTGCACTGAGCTATATCCCCAGCCCTTTTATTTTCTGAGACAAGTTCTCACTAAGTCACTAAGTTGCCCAGGCGGGGCTTTAACTTGGAATCCTCCTGCCTCAGCCTCTCAGAGTACTGAGATTATTGACATACTCCTTACCCCTGGCCCTTCTCACCTTTTATATATCGATAGTTTAAAATGGATTACAAGTTTAAGCCCAGCCTGGCCAATTTAGCAAGACCCTGTCTCAAGATTTTAAGAAAGGGCTAGTGATACAGTTCAGTATATCCCAGTATGGTTCAATCCCAGTATGGTGTGGGGAGGGAAGACAGCTAAAAGAAAAGTGCTAGTCTGGCATCTGAGTAATTAAAGAGTCTTATAACCTTGAGTCACTACTCAGAATCCATGTTAGGTTTCACATAATTTTCAGTCTCAACACCGTCATTTTTATTCAGATAAGAGAAATGACCTTTAGAAATCATGGACATCGCAAATGGCACTTAAGGAAAAGAATCACAAGATGCTACCAAAAAAAAAAAAAAAAAAATCTCAGCAAAAACAATTATTTCAAATAATGAAGAATGTTAGTACACAGTGGAAACATGGTTTAGAAACCCTGGGAAGCTCACATTTCTTATTTCTGTTTTACTAAGCAATATGAATTAAGCATTATAATCTGAAGTGCTTTTAAACACAAGGAAGTAAAAAACAAAACAACAAAGTAGGCCAGGCACGATGGCACATGCCTAATCCCAGCACTTGGCAGGCTGAGGCAGGAGACTGCTATGAGTTCAAGACCAGCCACGGCTATCTAATGATTTCAAGGCCACCCCAAACTACATAGTAATATCCTGTCTCAAAAAAGAAAATGCAGCAGGGAGCATTCTGGGATTCACAGAGTTTCTTCTTCCCTCATCTCTGTTCTCTTACTTTGTTACAAAAAGAACCTAAAACAAATCTTTGCTCAAAGCAGTCATTTTTGAGAACAGTAAGACCTACATTTTTTTCCAACTCCTCAGCCACCCAAACCCTGAAATCCACAGATTTCAACAGACACTTTTTCATTTGCCTGCAAACTGAGCTACAATGTAACCGGCACTGAAGTGTGGTGGAGGGCTGAAAGTCACTGGCTATTGCCAAGGTTCCTCAATGTGTCTTGTTTGTATTATGACTTTTTAAAAATTTAGTATGATAAACACTCCAGCTGGAAATTTACACATTTCTGAAATATGTTGGGGGGAAAAAAACCCGTACTACTTCCAATTTCAAAGTAGATGCTTCCAAACCGAACAGATCAAGCTGCTAATCAGCAACTGAAAATAATCAGCCATTCAAATTATGGAAATGTTTGTTAAGGTGATTTTTTGTTTCTTGTTTTTGTTTTCTGCCTAGCACTGGAGATAAATTCAGGGATGTTCCACCACTGAACCACATCTCCAGACATTTTCTTTTGAGATAGGGTCTCACTAAATTGCCTGGACTGGCCTTAGCCTTTCCAGTAACTGGGATTACTAGCACGAGCCACCTTGCCCCCAGCTCCTGGTTTTCATGAAAGTGTCCTCTTGTATTCTGTGAGGATGGAAATGTCTGACATCCACACACAGCTACTTTCAAGAAGTAATTCCCAAGACACATTTTCCCAACTCCTTTCTTTTTCCCTAATTGTTCAGTTACAGTTTAAGGAGGACAAATCTATGAGGCAGGGTCTGGATGGCACTATACCCTTTAAGAAAAGAAATATTTTGGTGCACTGGGAAACTTCACAACATAATGTGTATTTATAGACATTTTTTTCTTGCATGAGAAAGTATGTTTTGACTCAAAAATACACTGCAGTTCTACAGTGGAACGTGCTATTAAAGAATTAGCATAATTTAAAAGGAAAGCATAGATAGTATGTTTTAATAATTCCTATATTTTCATTATTTGGACTTAAATTAACATGTCTTTTTTCCTTTTGATTTTGCATTTCTAAGGATTTTTACATTTTTGAGAGCTATTTCAAATTATCACAGAAATACTAATGTAACAACATAAATATAAATAACACATAAGCAATATGTATGCACACACAAGCAGACCCAAACATCAGACCACTGAAGTTGTACTCTCGGGGTTCACACGCATGAGTCTAGAGGTGTTCCTCAGGTCCTGGAGCTGCTTGGCAGGTTTCCCCACACCTTCCTCAAACCTCTTCTCCACCACAGGGAGGACTGTCTCGTACAGAAAGGATGCGTTCTGTCTGATAAAAGCCTTCTTCTCCGGATCCTGCTCACACCGCAGACTGTAATCCACATGCTGAACAGCAACCAGGATGATTTCCACCAGGCTCTCCAGAAGCACCATGTGTAGCTCGGGGAAATACAGCTTCAGTGCCTCTTCCAGAAAGCCCATGGTCTGCTTGGTGAAGGCAACCACCGTGTAGCTCAAGTTCACCCAGCAATCATCGCCTGTGTACTGCTCAAAGTTACTCACCCCGCAACTCCTCATCTCTTCCTTGAGCTTGCTCAGGGCCTCAGGAGTCATGAGGTTCATCCGCCTCCACATCTCCTCCGAGTTGCGGTGTTTCGTGGCTTCGATGATGATCTCCTTGTAGCTGTGCAAGGCCCCCTGGATGTCTTTCACCAGCAGAGCATGGATGATAAAGGTGAGGTCCAGCCCAATCTCCCCCAGCTGCTGGCAGTGCTCTTTGGCCACCTTCACACACTCTGCAGCTGTCGAGAGGCTCTCCTTGCTGTCAAACACTTGCTTGCTGAAAGCATCCACAAACATGCCCATGGCTGACCTTGCCCAGACCACAAAGGCGGAGTAGCAGCCACTGTCGGTGCCTGCAAAGTCTGTCTCGAATTCCCTTGCAGTCTCCAGCAGGCTGGTGAAGAAGACATGGCAGAGCTTGTGAATGTAGAGGAGGGTGGCTCCTTCGATTCGGAGCTGCCGTATTGCAGTGTGCACAGCTGCTGCCCTGTTTCTCAGAAAGAGCTCACACGCCTTCGTGCACTGGCCCAGCCGGATTAGCTGAGAAACTGCCCTGCGAGTGGCCTTCGGGCCACCTCTCAGGGAGCGATCTGGGGAGAGTTCAAACACTAGCACCTCAGTGAGCTGCCTTACACGCTCATCCACTCTGGCCCTGAGTTCTTTCACAGGAGGTGAGCTAGGCTTGTCTTCTAAGTAGTGGTTCAGTTTGTCCAGAAGATCAACAGCGCCCTCAAAGTCCCTCTGGGCAATACAGACATCCAGGTCTTCCGGCAGCTCCTGGACCCACTCCACTGAGAGGTCCACCTTTTCTTCCTCTACCTCAGGAACAGCTGGCTCTTCGTCGTCATCGTCCTCAAACGGGTTGCTGGCCTTGCCAGTCACCTGCGGGGGCCCTCGCGCGGCCGCTGCCTCCTCCTGCTCCCTCCTTGTCTTCTCGCTAAGGGCCCTCTTGGTTTCCTCCAGCACTTCCAGCCACTCTCGTTTGATCTTGGCATTTTCTGCCTGAAAAATTCGGCTTTCCGGGAACATAAGCAACTTAAACATGTCCTTCATGGGCGGGTTGTCCTTCACATTGACCACAGCCAGGTCCTCCAGTTGGTACAACGCGTTGTAGCGGTACATGCCCCGTCGCTGCGGCAGCCAGGTGGCCACCAGCAGGCAGTCATTCATGAGGAAGCCGTGCACGCGCTGCAGTTGCACCATGTGATCTGCCTCATACTCCACCAGGTCCCCGTTGTACACCAGGTACTGCCCAGGCGTCTCCAGCAAGTGCCTGCAGCCCTCCACCTTCTCCAGGAGTGTGGTCAGCGTGCGCTGCTTGCCCTCCTCGCCCGCGCTGGGGCTGTCCCGCGGGGCGCCCGCTGGACCGGGCAGGAAGCCGGCCTGGCCGCGGCGGCGGTCCCGCGCCCCAGCGCCCGCCGCGTCCTCGCCTGCGGCGGCCCCCGCGGCAGCGGCGGGCAGCAGAGCCAACGGGATGCTCTCTAAACTACTCTTCTGCTCGGTCAGCAGGTGGCTAAGCTGGTACATTTCGCTCTCCAGGTAGGAGATCTCCCGCGCAGTCTCGATAAACTGCCGGTAGTTTTGGTAGACATTGCGCTTCAGGTTCTGCGCCGTCTCCTCTGCCAGCGCCTGCACGCGCTGTCGGTGCTCTTGCAGGTCGCGGTCCCCGTCCGACTGCTGCGACAGCTGCTTCACGTACAGCCGCGCCTCAAACCCCCCTGATTCCAGCTGTCGCCGCAGGCGGCTCGCCCCGCTGTCCGACATGGCCATCGCCCTCGCAGCGCGGGCCTCCTGCAGTTGCTGTCACTCGCCGCCGTCTAGCCCCACCCGAAATCCGCGGAACCCGGAGGCTGAGGGAGCGGGGCGTGAGCAAGACGAGGACGCCTGCGCCAGGACCGGGCGTCGAGCGCTGCGCCTGCGCCAGGGCCACACGTCACGCGCTGCGCCTGCGCCAGGGCTCACGTCACGCGCTGCGCCTGCACCGTAGCCTAACGTCACACATTGCGCCTGCGCTGGAGTTGAGCGCAGTTATGACGCCTGCGCAGAAACGCTAACGGACTAAGGCGCGTGCGCATCACTGCGGAAGTAGGGGCGAGCTGGACTCTGCGCATAGGCGGGGCGTGATCAGCGACGGAAGCGGGTGACCGACTCTGTGAGACCCTACTCGGCTGTTGTCCGCGGGCGCCGTCGTGCTACTTTTAGCTACGAAGCTCCGCATCCTGCCGCGGAGTTCGGGACGAGCCCGCGCTCGCTGTGAAGACGGGCCCAAGGCCTCGTGAAACCGGTGTCGCCGAGGGTCCGAGGGGGACTGGGCAGAGCGATGGAGGAGGACCTGATCGTCGCGCTGCGGCTGCAGGAAGAGTGGGACGCGCGGGCCGCCAAGCGCGCAGCGCGGGAGACCCTGTCGTTGGTGGACGCGTCGTGGGAGCTGGTGGACCCCACCCCAGACCTGCAGGCCCTGTTCATGCAGTTCAACGACAGCTTTTTCTGGGGTCGGCTGGAGGCGGTGGAGGTGAAGTGGAGCGCGCGCATGACGCTGTGAGTGCGCCTGCACGCCGCCCCCAGGCCAGAACGCCGGCCGTTGGTGCCCCACCTCTTTTCCCCGGGGCTGCGAGAGGGAGGAACCCCAGGTGCCCTGAGGACCTGACCCCAGGACACCGCGCGAGGAGCGCGCTGGACTCGGCGTCCCCAAGAATGAGTGGCTCTAATCCCTAGGATCCTGCGCCAAGAGTGCCAGGACCTAGAGTCGCTCGGGACGTGTAGACCTGCTCTTAGGGCCTGACCCCGAGGGTGCGAGGACAGGATTCCTCAGGGCCTGTGGACCTGATTCCTGGGACCCTGCCCAAGGGGACCAGGCCCCAGGGACCTCCGAACTATGGACCTTACTCCTAGAACCCTACCTGGAGAGTGCCAGAATTGAGGTTCCCTAGAACCAGTGGACCTGACTCTTAGGACCTGGTCCCGAGAGTGCCAGGACCCGAAGTCCCTCAAGACGTGTGCACCTGAGCCTTAGGACCCAGCCCCAAGAGTGTGCTGGACTGAGGGACCCTCAGCGAGGATGCCCTAAGAGTAGGGTCCCCTTTCTATCCTCTTGAGTTTGCGAACTCCTAATTTAAAATAACATGCCCCGAAATAGGAGTTGAAATTAATGTGTGGTTATTTGGTGACACATGAGGCTTGGTTTGAATTTATACAGAACAACCTACAGTCAGGCAAGTTAAGATGGGCTATCAAATTTTAGAGTACAGGTCGTCATACAGGTGCGCTACTACAGCTGTGATGGTTTTGCCACGTGCTGACGGTGGCTGGGGAGGAGAGTGGGTCCCTGAGGTGACTGTCTTCTTTGGGCATTGCAGCCATTAGGGTAAGAGAAGCCACAACAGTGGCAACAGTCCCGACTGGGGTGCAGTGCAAGTTCTGCTCCCAAGAGAATGGATCCTTAAGAAAGCTATCAGCACTCCTGTAGTCCCAGCACTCTGGGAGGTTTAGGCAGGAGGATCACAGGTTGACCCCAGCTTGGCAGCTTGGGCAATTTAGAGACTTAGCAAGACCCTATCTCCAAAAAAAAAAAGCTGGGGATGTAGTTCAGTGCAAAGGCCCTAGGTTCAGTTCCCACTAAGGAAAAAAGAAAGCCGTATGCTGGCAGGATTCTCTTCGTGTGAATTGCCAAAGGAGGAGTAAGGATTTGCTCTTTTATGTTTCCCATTCATGTGTATTTGGTAAATGTAACACATTGTTGTAACTGTTTTCCAGGTGTGCTGGGATTTGCTGCTATGAAGGCAGTGGGGGAATGTGTTCCATCCGTGTCAGTGAACCCCTTTTAAAGTTCAGACCAAGAAAAGATCTTGTAGAGGTATTGTTTGTGCAAGTTTGATTCTTAGCTCAGTAATTTAGTCTTCTGTGAACTAACTGTTGTGTTTTTTAAAAATTGCTTTTCCCATAATGCAGGCTTGAATTGTGGAGCAAATAATAAACCTTGTATATTTATAATGCTGGATAGTTAAGAAAGGCTGTCAGGTATATTATCTTGTTTGATCTTTACGTTAGCTATGTTTATGTCCAGTGTGGGTTAGGGTTATTTTCATTCTTTACAGATGCGGAAATTAAGGTTCAGAGTGGTTAAGTAATCTACTTAAGTTACATATTTAGATGCAGAGAAGAACTTAGGATCTGAGTGTTTCCACTGACATACACAAATTTGGATTATCCACTGTTTGACCACCACACTGCTGCCCTCCCAGGACACCTGTCTGAGCTGGCATCGAAGTTGTCCTGGAAGTACACTTCAGTGTAGCGCTGTGGTCACTCTTGCTAGCACAGTGAGTCAGAAGGAACTGCTGGTTTACTTCAGATTGGGTTTAGTAGATAAACCGAAAGTCCCTAAGGTGCATCCGGTGTGACTTGTCCTGCCTCAGTTCTGTCCCTTGAAAAATGTTCACAGGACACCATAGGGATGGTAGATCAGCCTTTGGTTAAAATCAGGTGCCGTATCTGTTCTGATCAGTCGACTGTGTTGGTATGTGCTCTTTCCGAGGGCAGTATGTTAAATGGAATTTTGAAGCAGAAAGGTAGAATTAGAGCCTGCTTTCAGTACTCCATGAAGTGACTTGGTGTTACAATACCTCCAGCAATAGTGCATCCCATCTCCTGAGAAAAGAAAGTGGTTGTGGTGGTAATTTTATGTTACATGTTTTATACTACAATTTAAAAAGAGTAAGAAGATACTGAGTGTAAAATGATACAATGGAAACATTTGATTAATGAGAAAAAAGGAATAAAAAAGCCAACATGACCTAAAGAAGAATGTAGACATGAAGAGTAATTATATTAAATGTGGGTGACTATTTTGTTAGAGACTCATTTGATATATGAGGTTAAAAGAAGCATACTTACAACAAAGACATGTGTGTTAGATTTGAAGGGATAGAAAATGCGTATCAACCCAACACAGTAGAAAGCTACTGCATCTTTATTAGTATAAGACCAGATAACTTCAAGGAAAAGAAATTATACTAGAAAAAAAAAAAGTGGGATTTTTTAACAACTTGAAACTATTGAACAAAAATATACAATGACCCTAAAAGTAAGTACTAATAACAGGTTTTAAGTACATAGAGCAAATGGCCCTGAGTTCGATTCCCGCTACAAAAAAAAGGTACCTAGAGCATACAAGTAAATTAACAGAAAGAAAAAGAAATAGTCAACAATCATGACCAACAATTCAAATTGTATCATGAGTACAATATTAGTAATTTGATGAATACACAAAAATAGTATACATAAAAAAAAAATTAAACATGATTAACCAAATCAGCCTTACAAGGAGCCTTAATAGGTGAGGAGTTACCTAAAGAATATGTACTGATTAAGCATGTGAGCAATTTTTTTGAGAAAGGGTCTCACAGTGTAGTCTAGGCTGGCCTCGAAGTTGTGGCCATAGCCCTACTTCACCCTCCTGAGTGCTGGGATTACAGGTGTGTGCACCATCATACCCGGCTCAATTTTTTTTTTTTAAGTAGTGGTTGAGAGAATGGAAGTGTATGGTAGTGGTTTCAAGAGAGCATTTCCTACTGGCAGGAAGTTGAAGTATCAAATCAGACAAGAACAGGAGGGAAACTCTGGTCCGTAAAGTATTAACTGAATCTTTAAAAATGAGATTCACGAAAGGAAAAGACTGTTTCTCTGGTTTAGGAAGTCAAGAAAAGCTTTATAAATTCAGACATTATGATGGCTACCACCACCAAGACTCCTACCATTCATTCTTTATTGAGCACCTTTTCTGTGCCAGAGTTTGGACTAGCTCTACTATAGCTTTCGCCGTAGTCCTGAAAATTAGGACATCCTATTTCAGGAGTGAGGAGCAAGTTATAACCCGTCCCAGATTTCATGCTTAATTAGTAGTCGTTGCTTCTTAGTTTTCCTCACTGCTGCTGAGCTTTGTCTCCTGGCCTGTAACTATTGCTCCTGCCAATTGAATCAAAAGAGGTGAGGCCTAGAGACCCATTGGACTCCTAACAAGTAGGGCTATGAGAGGAGAGTATTCTTGGTGGGAGGAATAAGAGCAACTTGAACAACAGCAAGGTCAGAAAACTTGCAGCATGTTTAGAACCAGAAGCCAGTATTTTTGACCAGATACAAGCGTCATAGGAAACAGGTATGCTGTCGAGAGTCTTGAATGTAGCCTTAATGTGGGCACTGGTAGGTATAAAAATTTTGCTATTTTTATTTTATTTTAAAGAGAGAAAAAAAATAGAAACAATACAGAATTTCAAAACAAGATCATAGGAAATTAACAATGCTTATTATATTGCATACTGTTATCTGCAGAGTAGTTGCTCAGATTATCAGATACAGGCATGCAAAATTGATCAACAATATAAGCACTGTTCCTTTCAGTGAACTAATAGAAACTAGTAGTACAGTTATCTTCGTTATCGTGTGTGTGTGTGTGTGTGTGTGTGTGTGTGTGTGTGTTTTATTTTCCCTTCTTTTGTCCTTTCCCCCAAGGGCTAAATTTATGAATGCCAATCTGCCAGTCTTGTTCTTCTGATGGAAATTCCTTTATTTCTTTATTTTTAGGCCACTGTTGGGGATTGAACCCAGGGCCTCATCCCTGCTAGGCTTGTCCACTGAACTACATCCTCAGCCCCAGAAATACTTTTTAAAAAAACTGTTGATGATGGTAGCAGTTATAGGAGCCTGGTGTGATGGTGCATGACTACAGTGGCAGCTACTAGGGAGGCTGAGATAGGAGAGTTAAAATTTGAGGGCACCCAGACAACTTAATGAGACCCTATTGCAATTAAAAGGACCAGAGATATAGCTCAGTGATAGAGGGCTTTGCTTAGCATGTATGGGGACCTGGCTTCAATCCCTAGTACATATGTACACATACATATTATTGAGAATTACAGAAAGTACATGCTTTTGAAGATCTTTTCGGTTTGTTTGTGCTGGAGATGGAATCCAGGGCCTTGGGAATGTTAGCCAGGCACTCTGCCAGTGAGCTCCTACACCTTCAGCCTATTTTTCATTTTTCAAAAAGACACTATTCATACATTTTTGGAACAAAAACTGTAGAAACCTTAAGAGCATTTGTTAATTTCTCACATAAACATGTGGAGTGACTGTTTTTATTTTCTTAAATTTTTGCATGATTCAAAACTCAAAAAACTGTAGAAGGGAAATATACAGAGAAATCTTATTCTATACCTGTCTTTCTCTATTCTCTCTACCTATTATAGGAATTATTAGTTTTTCTTTGATTTTTCTGCTTTGCAAATATTTATATCTACTTTCATTCCCATTTCCTATACCACATTTCTTATACAGAATGCTATGTGCTTTGTCCTTTTCATTAAAACAGTACACTCTGGGGGCCAGGCGTGGTGGCGCGTGCCCTGTAATCCTAGCACTCAGGAGGCTGAGGCAGGAGGATCGTTGCGAGTTTGAGGCCAGCCTGAGCTACAGTGTGAGCTCAAGGCCAGCCTGAACTGCATAACGAGACCCTGTCTCAAAAAGACAAAAACAAAACAACAACAACAAAAAAACAGTACACTCTGTAGCCTTCTCCAAATCCTTTCCTAGAGATCTTTTCTTGGAGGTGGGGACAGTTGAGACAGATCTTGCTATGTAGCCCAGGCTAATCTTGAACTCACTATGTAGAGCAGGCTGGCCTTGAACTCACGGCCATCCTTCTGCCTCAGCCTCCCAAGTGCTGGGATTACAGTTGTGCACCACCATGGCCAGCTCCTAGAGATCTTTTTTATTCTTTTTATGGCTGTGTTGAATTCTGGTTTGTGGATGTACATTCAGCCAGTGTTCTGTTGGTAAACACTTGAAGTGTTCGTAATTTTTTACTTTTATAAACAATGCCACAGTGAATGCACCAGTACGTACGCCTTTCATGCTTGTCTAGGGATTGCTAGCATAATGTGGTAAATGTATTTGTAATTTTGGTAAGTGCTGTGAAGTTTTCCATAGGGGTTGTGCCATTTTGCACTTCCACCAGCAGTATATGCAAATATTTATTTTCCCTTAGTTTTGTTAACAGTATCACACTCCAGTTTTACCATTCTTGATGAACAAGAAATAGTGTCCTAGTATTTTAACATGGCTTTCTCTTTTTTTTTAAATGACATTGAGCATTTTAATATATTTATGGGTGATTTGTTGTCAGAGACCGGCCTGCTCCACTGGTCCCCAAGTCCTTTTTCCAGGCACCGCCCGTGGGGAACCAGCCCACTTCTGTGAGTCTTCCCCACCCAGGCACTGCTTGCAGGGATCTATTCCGGCTACTAGTTTGTTTCCCTGACCCGAGGGTGAATGAGGATGAATGATGGAGAGTCAGTTTAACATTCCAGCAGCCAGGGGGCTCTTGCTTCTAGGGCAGAGGAGCTCCATTTCCTCCCTTTTGTTATACCAGACTTGGGTGCAAGCAGTTAAAGTAACACAAGGTTCAGTTGCCTTCCATTGTCCTTTTGGAACACTCTCAGGTAAACAACTTAAGCTCAGCTGTATGAACTTTCTCTTTTGTGCTCACAGTGGGGGCCAATTAAGACTTAATCTTCCAGCCAGGTGTGGTGGCGTATGCCTATGATCCCAGCACTTGGGAGGCTGAGACAGGAGGATCGTTGGGAGTTCAAGGCCAGTCTGAACTGCATAGTGAGACCCTGTTTCAAAAAAGGGGGGGGGGGAGATTTAATCTTCCTCTGGTGTCCCACAGTTTATACTTCTTTTTCTGTGAACTGTAGGACATTTTAAGTTAACTTTATTTATTGTTGTGGTACAAGGGATTGAACCTACTGTGCTGTATCCTACACTTTTTATTTTTTATTTTGATACAGGGTAAGTCACTAACTTCCCCAGGCTAAGCTTGAATTTATGAGATTTCCACTTATCCTCCCAGAGTGCTGGGATTATATGAGTGCCTTACCACGCCTGGCTTATCTTTTTGTAGGAGTCAGGGTCTTTCTGTGTTTTCCAGGCTGTCCATGAACTCCTGGGCTCAAATCATCTTCCTGCCTTAGCCTCCCAGGTAGCTGAAAGTACAGGTGTATGCCATGGCACCCACCTATCCCCTACTTTAAAACTGTTTATTATTTTCCTTTAACATTTGGAGCTTTTTATAATACATTCAGAATTAATAGCCTACGATAGATGTTGCCATATAGTTGTCTGAGTTCATCTTTTTTACTTACGGTGTTTTTTCCATCAGAATTATAACGTTTTTAGGGAGTTTGATCTTTTGAATTTTGCTTTGTACTCAAAAAGGTCTTCTAGGAACAGGGAGTTGTTTATTCAGAATCTGCAGAGCTTCGTGTATTTGCAAAGTTCTTAGAGTAATAAAATGAATTCTTATTTTCAGAAGTGCTATAACAAAATTGTTTTCTGTTTCAGACTCTCTTGCATGAAATGATACATGCCTATTTATTTATCACTAATAATGATAAAGACCGGGAAGGACATGGTCCAGAGTTTTGTAAACATATGCATCGCATCAACTGCCTGACTGGAGCCAATATTACGGTATATAAAGTCGCAGACGTTTATGGTATTTACTAGTTATTTATTCAGTAATTTCTGAGATTTAAATAAAAATAGTGAACTTGCTGTGCACAGTGGCTCATACCTGTAATCCTGGCTACTTCAGAGGCTAATGCAGGAAGATTGCTAGTTTGAGGCCTGCCTAGACAATGGAAGTCTGTCTCAAAATAAACAAAGGGCTGGAATTGTAGCTCAGTGTGAAGGCCCCAGGTTTCCATCCCCAACACTGTAAAAAAGAAAGAAAAGGAAAAAGTACATATATAATAAAAATGGTTGGGGTTGTAGCTCAGTGGCAGAGCCCTCCAGGTTTGAACCCAGTACTTGTGGGGAGGAGGGTAAAAACACCTTTGGGAATAACTTCAAGAATTTTCAGCAGTGAGCAAGAAGCGTAAGGAAGCTAATTAGGTTTTCAGGCCCATACATTACAACAGTAGATCCAGCAGTATCTCTGAGGCCTCTAACCTCCTCTAGGTCAACATTGTAGGCATAGTTAATTCAGGCCTGGGCTGGGGATATAGCTCAGTGACACAGCACTGCCTAGTAAGCGCAAGGTCCTGAGTGCGATTTCCAGTACCAAAAAAAATTTCAGGCCTACAGTACTGGGCTCTCATGACACCTTTTCCGCTTGATTTCCTTACTGTAGTCTCCTTGAATCCATCCTGTATTCTGCTGCCATTTCCCATGTCATTCTGTCCATCAGAAGTCTTTGATTACTGTCTCTGCATAGTCATAGGAGGTGGCAAAGCTCAGGGTTAAGAAACTGAGATGACAGGTTGCTAGGGTTCATATGCTACCTTGCTCCATGGGTGATTATCCTGGATCTACCCAGTGCATCTCCACCTTATCTTACCTGCAGCTGCGGGTAATAACAATAACAGGACCTCTCTGCAGGATCCTTGTGAGGAGATAGAATTAAAGGAGAAACACCCAAAACGTTTTTGTGCAGCCTGAGCACTAATTAAATTCACTGAAACACTGCCCTGGCATACTTCCCACTGCGTGGTTGGAAGAGGATATAGTCTTTCGATTTGGGTGTCTGTGTTTTTATTTGGGGGGCATTGTGGAGTGAGCAGCCCTTGCTAGAAAGTGAAAGCTTTCTGGTTATGAAAATTATGTATATAGATGCTCCTTGTTTTTATACCAATAGGATAAAAATGAGTATTCCACTGAGAAGATAAGAAGGTGCCACATAGTCATTTAAGAGCAGAGGTTTTTGTAATTGCAGTGCTGGAGGTTGAACCTCAGCCCCCATGCATGCTGAGCACGAGCTCTTCACTGCGCTGCAGCCCAACAGGAGTAATTCTCAAGTCTTCTGCAGGCCTCACTGCTGAGGTGCTTAGGGGGGCTGGCTCTTGCTGGCCAGAACTTTTTCTTTATTGGTTTTTGCTCAGGTTCTAAGTAAGACATCATCTAGACTTAGAAAGCACGTCACATAAAAACTGGAAAGCTTATTCAAACTTTGACTTGGTAAGTAGTGCTTTTAGTCACTCAGTCAGCAGATATGTTCCCCATGCCAGCCGTGATCACTGGTATCCCAAAATGAAAACACCCAAGTTCTGTTAAGAGAAACAGTCATGAACAGCAACAGTATTCCTACCGAAAGCTCACGGTGGAGACACAGGCAGAGCTTTAGACTACGGGGAGGGAGCGCAGTAGAGGCTTCACTGGCAAACGTGTGTCAGGTCAGGTGTTGACAGGAGGAGTTTGGTCCTTTAGAGCTATTACTGCTGGGGAAGTTTTCAGTGTTGCAGTAGGAATGATTCTTTTCATTTTCTCTCTCTTTTTTTTTTTTAATTTTCAGTGCCAGGATCAAACCTAGGGCTTTACATACAGGAGGCAACCACTCCATCACTGAGCTGTATCACCAACTAGAGAATGGTCCTTACAGTGTTGTATTAAACTTTGTCTCAGGGCTGGGGATTTAAGCTCAGTGGCACAGCGCCTGCCTGACAAGTGCAAGGTCGTGAGTTCGATTCCCGGTACTGGAAAAAAAAACCAAAAAACCCAACTTTGTCTCTGTCCTAAGTTTTGATCATTTTAATATTTTATTTCTGAAGCATTTACCATTTATAGAGTTTTTGTGGCTTTATTTTTTTTTCAAAAAATTTTCTCACATTCTGTCTTTACACAGTTTAGGAAGTATTTAATTAACTGCTACTGTTTCCCATTAAAATGGACTTCTGAACTTTTAAATACATTAGCTTTCTTTCCCCAAAATGGAGCTTTCCAGAAATCTCTGGGAAGTGGGAAGTTACAAAAAAGACTGCTTATGTGAAGTGTTGCCCTTAAAATTGCTAACTTGCTTACTGAATGCGGAAACTTCCCGCTCTGCCCAGGTGTACCACACGTTTCACGATGAGGTGGAGGAGTACCGCCGACACTGGTGGCGCTGCAACGGGCCGTGTCAGTATAGACAGCCATATTACGGCTATGTGAAACGTGCCACCAACAGGGCACCCTCTGCACATGACTACTGGTGGGCTGAGCACCAGAAAACCTGTGGCGGCACTTACATAAAAATCAAGGAGCCAGAAAATTACTCAAAGAAAGGAAAAGGAAAGACAAAACCACAGAAGCAGCCCGTGCCAACAGTGGAGAGTAAAGGTACCTTTGCACACACTCTTCTGTCTTTTCCATGGCCACAGCCAGTGTAAACAGAATGTCCTTTAGAGAACTGGCATCAGCGTAAGCCTGAGAGCTGTTTGCAGTATAGAAATACTCAAGTGTAGCTTTAATAGAAAGCTGCATTTCATGAATGTTGTCTAGGAAATAAGGCTAGGAAAATACACTTTGCTTTATATAGAAGTAAAAGAAAGTTTCCATCACAGTATTTGAGGTAGAGTTCCTTTTGCTGTCTCAGCTTCGCTGAGTAGTTAGGAAACAGCAAAGAGATACAAAACAGCAATTCAGATAATGCCTAGAATGTAAGTCCTAACTACACTTCTTCCAGTTGGTTGGATTCAGTGCATGTCCTCACTGGGAGGAGAATGGGAAGGGATGTGACATATATTTGTTAGTATTTCATCTTTAGGATCTTCCTTTCTCCTGTGGAGCTCAGAGTCACCGTCTTTTGAGGAAATAACAGGTTGATATAGTTGATGTTCTGTCCCTTAGGAAGTGTTGTTTGGTGTGGTAGGACCCGTGAGCACAAGCTGTATTTCCCAAATCTGAAATGCCTACTACAGTCAGCTGGAGAAACTTCAGTGTGGGAGCTGGGTCTTGTTCTGTGAATAGGAGGAAAGACAGTAGGGTAGCAGACTTTTCCTTTCTGGAGTTTATAAATATAGAGGAGAGGAAGCCATTTTGGGGGTGGTCATTGTTTCTTGGGTATTGTTTTTTGGCATGATAGGTTTTTTTTTTTATCTAAATGAGAGAACTCTTATTCTCTCAACATCAGAGATCTGACTTTCCAAGATGACCTTTTCCCATTGATAGGTAATTATTACACGGGTCCAAGTTAGAATGAAATAATTTCTTCATGTTGAGAGGACTTTGCATTACTTAATGTTTGTTATTGCATTAATGCTGAATCAAGGAAAGTCTTACTTGCTTCTTTTGCAGATAACCCCAGTAAAGGAGAGCCTCAGCCACTAATCCCTTTCAGTGGGAAAGGGTATGTTCTAGGAGAGGTGAGGAGTCCACCTTCATCTGGGAAATCGATTGCCTCACATGCCATCAGTGAATCCCAAGATCTTTTTAGTCAGGACCATTCAGCAGATGCTGTAAGACCTGATTCTAGCCCTGAAGCGAAATTCAAACAGAATGGTTCAAGTAAAAAATCTCATCTATTTCCTCCTGTGCACCAAAGTGTCCTAAGCAGCTACTTTCCCAGAGTCTCAGTTGCCAACCAAAAGGCTTTCAGAAGTGTAAGCGGATCCCTATCAAAAAATAGGACTGTCGGTGACATCACTAAACACTCAGTCTCTTCTAGTTCTCAGAGGAGGGTTCCATCTTCTAAGACTCCGTTGAGAAATCCCTCCAAAGTGATGGCCTCGGTATCTGTAACTGCATCCCAGTATGGGAATGGGTCCAAAGACAAGTTCCCAGGCAAACGACCCAGGCTAGAAGATAAGACCACTTCTGACACCTTTTTTGTGAAGAAAGAACAACTACAAAGTGATGGCAGTGAGTCAGATAGCACTTCACACGCCGCGGCTACAGCTCCGAGTTCCAGCAGCTTCTGCATTCAGAGCCAGCTGGTCAGCTGTCCAGTGTGTCAGGGTGAAGTTGTGGAGTCACAGATTAATGAGCACCTGGACCAGTGCCTGGAAGGTAGTGCTGTCGGTGTCAACAGCTGAAGTCTGAAAAACAAACGAATCTCATCTGGTGCCTGTATTTTCTCACAAGTAAATCAAATAAATGGCCAACTGGTAGAGAGGTTCTGGTTGACACTACGCTGAACGTCAGGATGTAGTTCACACAGCCAGCACGGGACATTCTATTTTATTTATACATATGTGAGATTGTAGTTAACAGTACTTTACATCTCCAGCTGGATATGGTGGCACCCCTGAGGTCCCAGCTGCCAGGGGGCTGACATGAGAGGATTGCTTAAGCTCTTGAGTTTGACATCAGCCTGAACAACATAAGCCCCATTTAAAAAAAATGTTTTTTACAGCTCAGGGTGCTGCATTCACTCTTGCCTTACTTGCACTGTAAGCCAGGGTTTATTCTGCATGGGTAATTCTGTTTATAGAACTTTTATCAGGAGTATCACATTCCCTGGACAGATGTTCATCTTCACATTGTCAGACTTACCAAAAACAATTTGGAGTGCAAAATGGAGCAGTTGTTTTATTCAAGGTTTTTGTTTTTCCAGTTTTTTTCCCAAAAAGCTTAGGAAATAAATTCTCTATATTTCAAAGAATTTTCTCTGTTCTACCTTTACTAGAGGTGGCAGCAAATTTTAGGTTAAAGTAGATAAGGAATATAGTAAAGTAAATGTCTTTTGGAGTATTACTAATGACAAATAGCTATTATAATTTTGTAGGCCACATTCTGTATTTTATTTAGTTTTCTCTGTTCCGCAAACTGAGTGGTTAAAGCTCAGTGTTGGCAAGTGACTGGTATGTGTAACAACAAAATTGCCTATTTCATAGGGTTTGAAAATATCTGCCAAACAGTATTTCAAGCCTTCAGCCAAAATTGAGACCATTATAATAAAGGAATACCATTTGTGCCCGTAAGAATTTACTCTTTGCAAATGCAGATGTTCTTTTCTGTATGCCAGCAGAGGGACAAGGTATGTGTATCCATTTACTTCTTGTCCCATAGCTGTCCTATGCACCAGAGCCTTAGCTGTTCAGTTTTCGTTTTTGTTGTTGGGATACAAGTTATACACGGTGAGGTGCACAAGTCTTGAGTGTAGGTCAGAGTAAGCTTGCATAACATTTACTGTATAACTTAAAAAGTAAAACTTCTCCTGCTCCGGGAGACTTCCTGTGGTTGCTTTTTTTCTGGCCAGTGTCCACCACACTCACCACCCCCAAGGCCACCTCTCTTTTCATCTGTTACCAAAAATTAGTTTTAGCGTATTTTTCAAACTTCATAAAGTTTCTTTGTTGCTGTATGTGTTCACTTTCATTGCTCTGTAGTGTTTGTGTAAATATAGAATGTTTTCATCCATTGTAATATTAATGAACATTTAAATTGTTTTCAGTTTGGAGCTTTTAGGAAGAAAACTAGAACATCCCTTAAGGTCCTTCAGTTGGGTGTGTACTCAGGGTCGGCTTGCTGGCTCACAGGGCGTATCTGTGTAGCTTTAGTAAACACTGCTGGTTTACAGTCCTCCTAGCTGTGTGTGAGCATTTCCAGTAGTTCAGCATCCTTAACATTGTTTTTAGCCTGTGTGGTTGGATTTTAGAAGTTTTGATATTTCTTAAAACATACAGTTAAAGAAATGTATGTTTATAAATGGCTATTAAAATACATGTATTTTTGAATATATACTGTTAATGTTTATCAGTTTAACAAGTGCAATAAAGTGCATTTTTAGTAAAACTACACAAAGTTTTGAGTCTGTGAAGTGTATCATCTTTCGGGACTGTGACAGCCAGCCTGGCTGGGGGGATGGGCTGATGAGTGGTTTGGTGAGCACTGTGACAAGGGTTTCTGCCTTTTGCTGTGGAAGAGCCTGAGGACAGACCATTGTGTGGTCCAGCACAGCAGGGGACGGTCCTGGAGCAGACCCCGCACAAGCCATCGGTGAATGGAGTTAGGCTGGCAAAGGGCCTAACAGAGCACACACAGCCAAGGGACTGGATGCTGTTAAAGGAAACGTGGATAAGATGTAAGGGGCGACAGGGCAGAGGGACAAAGACTGCAGGCAGGACCAGCCTAGCTAAGAGTTTGGGGCAGAAACCATACGTGGTGTGAGTCCTGATGGAGAGCACCTGGTGACTCGGGTCCTCCCTTGACAAGACTCAGGGCAGCCAGACATGCTGCGAAGCTCTGGGCAGGCTGGGTGGGGGAAGAGCAGGGAGGACACGGAGGAGGGTGTGGGCAGCATGGAGTCACGGTTGGGATGAGTGGGATTCCTGCCAGCTGGCAAGGGAAATGATCTGCGTTGAAAAGTTACACCCTAAGAATGGTTACCCCCTCCAAATCTGAGTCAAATTGCATCAGTTGGTTTTTTTTTTTTGTTTTTTGTTTTTTTGGTTCTTTTCCAGTACCGGGGATCGAACTCACGACCTCGTGCTTGCCAGGCAGGTGCTGTGCCGCTGAGCTAAATCCCCAGCCCCATCAGTTGGTTTTGTATTGGCTTATATTTTTCCCTGTTAGAGCAAACTTAGGACCTTAATAGCAGAGCTGGTGATTCTGGCCCCTCTTTTGAGATGATAGACCAGACTGTTCTACAGAAACCTGGTGATTTTAAGTCAGCGTTGCACAGCCCCACCAAAACAGACTTTAGAAAACCTTGTTTTGCTTTTGTAGACTGCAAGTGCATATCCTAAGTAAAAATTCTAAATTGGATGGGAAAATACTACAACAAAAACCTTATAGCGTCCCATTGTCCCAAAGCAGAGGGATTGTATTTGTTCCAAAGCCTAAGGGATTTTTAAATAAATCAAAATGTTTCAGTGTAAAACAGCTGATGGAAGACGACGCCCAGGCGGCCCTGCAGTGTGGCGTCTGTTTTTGTGGTCTTTGTGGTGTGCGGATCCTGGTGCTTACTGAAGGCCAGTGGGTTGCTTTGCTTCTTGCTCTCAACATTTTTATCCTTGAGGCGTGTTGCCTTCATGCAAATTGTTGTCACTAATCACCCACGTCCACCAGATGAAGTGAAATTCTTAACACAAGTTTTAAGTTAAAAGTTAACTGGAGAGCTGAAATTAGGGAAAGATGCTCTGTGGACGTTGGCTCTGGCTTCCTTTATTTCGTCTAATTTACCACTGGCGTTGGAAGTTACACGGTCACACTCCATCATCACATAGCTTTTGGGATGCAAAAGTAAGAGGCGTGAGGAGGACCTTCCTCAGGGTGGAGAGCCACACAGAGCTGCTGTCCCTGCCCCGACTTGCCTCCTACTTCCTGGACACCAGGTGGCGCTCCTGATGGGCGAAATCTGAAAATTTGAAGGTGAAGCAAGCTTAAGGGAGAGAAACCTGCCCCCACACAACTAGACACCAACCTAGGAGGGGGAGACTGGGCCAGCACCTCAACCCTGTGAGAGAACACAGAAGTCAGGAAGGTCTCTGCACCATCATCTCCCCACATTGGCTTTCACATGTTACCCTTCACTCCGATTACCAGCATCGCAGTCTAATGCAGGGAAACAACCCCCCGCACAATGTGGCTAAACAAGTGTACTCGACACAAATGTGCTCGCCAAGGCAGGGCTGCACTCTGCAGTTCCTTCAGTCACACTGCTCCTCGTCTGCCCAGCTGTAACACTTTCCGTGCTCTGGCCGGTCCAGGTCATCTGAAGGACGTAAGTGTCCTTTGCCCTCCCTCAGAGGCCTGAAAGAACAACACGGGCCTTCTAGATTCCTGGTGAGAGTGACTAAGATGCAAGGTGTTTCTTAAATTCCAAATTCAAAAACACTGATGCTTCTGTGTACCTTTAAGAGTGGAGGTATACCTCAAGCTAGGAAACCCTAAGAACCAAATCATTTTCAGGTTACAAGCATTCCTTACAAACTGTATGAAAATCTGGCGCATGCCTGTAATCCCAGCACTTGGGAGGCTGAGGCAGGAGGATCGTTGCAAGTTTGAGACCAGCCTGGGCTACAAAGTGAGCTCAAGGCCAGCCTGAACTGCATAGTGAGACCCTGTCTCAAAAACAAAAACAAACAAACAAAAATCTTTATTTATATGAAAGACAATTTTTTCAAATGATTCGTTTTTTTAATGTATAAAATAGCTCCATAAATTCACATGCATACATACAAACATATCTAAATGGTTTCATTTATAAAGATGAACCAAGATTGATGTAGTTACATTTTTTTTTTAGGAGTTGGAAGAGTTTATTGAGAGAAGGCTTCTGTCAGCCAAGCGTGGTGGCGCACACCTGCCATCCCAGCACTCGGGAGGCTGAGGCAGGAGGATCATCACAAGTTGGAGACCAGCCTGGGCTACAAAGTGAGCTCAAGGCCAGCCTGAACTGCATAGTGAGACCCTGTCTCAGAAAGACAAAAAAAAAAAAAAAAGAGAGAAGAAAGCAAGCTCCTAAGAGGGACAGAAGGGGTCCAGAAAGTGGTTGCCCCTGTAGTTATAGTCTTAACACCAAACACATACATGTCCCCGTGGTGGGATCTGCAGCCAAGAGTCCATCCAGCCTCTTGACCTGAGAGGAAACATCAACATTTCTGCGTGTGTAGATCACCACGGAGGCTTCTCACAGTGTACACGTGTCTGTTCTGCTTCCTAACCCAGCCCAACTATTTTGTTCTCATTGTTTCTTTTCCATGCTGTTCACTATATTTAAAGTTGAATCTCTGGCCAGGTGTGGTGGCACACACCTGTAGTCCCAGCACTCAGGAGGCTGAGGCAGGGGTGTTGCCATGAGTTTGAGGTCAGCCTGGGCTACACAGTGAGTTCAAGGCCAGCCTGAACTATACATCGAGACCCTGTCTCAAAAAAAAGATCTTTATTCTTCCTTGAGCATCTTGTAGCTGAATCTGTTTGAAATAATTTTGCCTTTTTAAATTTCTTTTCTGACTTGAGATTGAATATTGTTAGTGTTCTTCTGCCTTATGGTTCACAATTTTCGTCAGCTGTCACTGATTCTCATTTTGTATTTACAGACATTGTCTTCCCTTTTTGCTCATTTTGGAAAGGTGTTTTCCTTGTCTTGCACAAGCAGTCGGGTCTCTGCAGGCAGGGCGAGGTGGCTTTGTGGCTCACCAGGCCCAAGTCCGTGTGTTCTGCTGGTGGACACAAAGCGGCGTTTCCAAAGCTGCCGCTGTGTTAGATGAGGTAGTTTGGTAAATGGGGAGGCTGGAGTCTCCTCCAATTCTGTGCTTTTCTCTTTCTGGGACTCTTGCTTCCTTCCTTCACTGTGCCATCAAAGAGAGCTACCATGTTCCCTCCAAGAACGGCACCTTCTCCAGACCGCCACCCCCAACTTTGTGAACTCCGAAGCTCTTGCCTCTGGGTGCCCTCAAGGCCAGCGCCCTCTACACCTGTCCAGACGCACCCGGACTCCACCATGCACAGTGGGCGCCTGACTTCCTCCCCTGTGCAGTGCCACTGTAAGTCCCTCCTGCCCTCATCTCTTTGCCATACCCTCTCCACCACCCTCACACTTTTCCTGGCATTGGGTATGGAAGCTGGTGTGAGCTGGGCGCACACTTATCTGAGCCACACCCCGCGCGGTGTCCTGACACAGGCCCTGACCGGCTCCGGTGTCAGGGCCGTTCCCCTGCTGTGTTGGAGATGCTGGCTTCTCTGGCTCACAGCTATGGAAGAGGCACGGGCAATTGGTGACCTTGCTTGCAGTATGGTTTCTGAAGATCAGGACAGATTTAAACTGAGGGAGCAGCGCAGACCCTCAGGAGAGCCAGGAGCCCAGGAGCTTCTCTCCTCCATGGCAACACATGGCCAGGGTCACCGGCACTTAGGGAAACTCACATGAAAGACAAGAACTGAAATGGTTAGTTAGGGCAACCCATTCGGGACCCCTGCTGTCTCTTAGGAGCTATTCCTATTCCCCAGTAAATTTTCCTACTCTTAAAAAAAAAATGGTTAGTTAAATACTGTACCCATTAGAAAGAACAGTTTGCTTTTTTAAAAAGTAGAAAACAAGTGCTCCTGAGAATTAAAAACGTTTTAGCAGACATGAAGCTCTTACTGCTATGGGAAAATAGATGTCCCCGTAGCAAAGACCAAGATCCACAGTGACTAGGAAAGGTCAGGTCAGGTTTAAACTAGCAGACAGGCTGTCCACATAGCTGGATAACAGAAGCCCCACAGAGAGCAGAGAATGGAAGGGAGAAGTAATAAATGAAGAAAATCAAGAGATGCCCCCAACAGTAGGGCATGGCTTTGCTGCAGCTGAAAACACATACGCATTACAGCCTGCTGGGAAACTGGAGCCTGGGGATGAGGATATTCTGGAATCTTCCCCAGGGAAAAAGGCAGGTAACATGTAAAGAATCAGGGAGATTTCTCAGCATCCACCACCGGAACAACGAGCGAGGCAATTCCTTCAAAATCCGAGGATAGTGAGATCTAAACTCAAGTTCTATATTCAGCCAAGTTACCAACTAAGTGTGATGGTAAAACAAAGATAGCAGCGTGAGGACATTTACTAGGCAGTCACTGTGGCAGGAAGCACTGGAGGCATGTGCCACCATGATGAGGAAGTAAACCAAGAGAAGGCAGATGGTCAAGCAAACTGGAGACCCAAGGTTGGGAGAGAAGGGAGCCCTGTGCTCTCCTGGTTTGGGTGGTGAACAGAAAACTTAGTCCTGAAAAGCTAGGACCCAAAGAATTGTTGAGGAGCTCAAATTTGTTTTCTTTTTTAAAAATGTGAGATTACTGGTCTTTGGGGATTTTTAAAAAAACTTTACAAAGTAAAGTTGTTTTACTTTGTAAAAAGTAAGTTGATTTAGTTCTTTAAGCTTCAGGTTCCCATCCTGGCACCTGCCCCCACCAAGCTGTAACAGTTACTTCCTGACCCTAATTGTGGATGGAGATGAAATCCACTTTGCCTGTTCTGTACATCTGGAGAAGAGATGTGTGTGGGTTTTTGCAGAACACAGGGTCTAGCAACTTTGCCAAAGTCCAGTCTCTGTGCAGTGAGGCCTCCTCCAGTCTCCCTGACCCTGTGACATCTTGTCCAAGCAGACAACCCCATGGGACACACAGCCTGCAGCTGCACGGCTATCTCTATCTGATGCGCAGGCTTCTATTCCTGTGGGCTCTGCATGGGATGCCATCCCCAGCTTGTGTGTGCACCCTCTGACGTCTCATGGGCAGTGGGCACTGGAGCTGTCACTGTACTTATTTTAGGTGAAGCCCGCTCCTGGGTGATCACAAACCAAATGTGCATCACGCCATGCAGAACCCAGGGGCTGCATCCATCATCTCAGAGGTACAGAACACATCCTTGAATCACCTGAGATTGGGTAAGTACTTCTGAATATTTATAAACTAATTAAAAAGTATGCAATTATTAGAGATGAAGTGTAAATACAGATCAGTGCGGTCTAACCCAGAATACAGCTCTTGTTTTGGGCCACATTCACTTTGGGAACGGCGCCTTGTTACCATGATTCATGTAAGCCAAGATAGAAAGACCTATCACTGGTAAGCAAACACCTGATGAAGCCATCAGCTCTGCAGAGCCACTGGCTCAGCTCTCCCTGTGCAGTCACACTGCAGAGGACAGGGCAGGTGCGCTTTCCAAGGCCTGCTCTGTTCCGTGCGCTGTCCGGGACCCTGCATACTGACTCGCTTCGGTCCCACAGGTGAAGACTGCTTACTTTCAGATGAGAAAAGGCTCAAAGGTCACACAATTAAGGGGCTGAGCCACAACTGAACAGAGATTTGTCAGTTCTGTGCTCTTTTTATTACACCACCTGATTTAGTCTTCATTTCTTGTTTTTCCTCCTTCAGTCCACAGCAGCATTCTTTCAATACAGTTCTCCAAATGCCTTAAAAAGGCCAAAGCATTCAAACACTACATTAAAAATATTTTTAAAAAATACAGAAACATGCACATTCATCTCACACGATAGGAACTTTTACAAGAAACTTTCCTGCACATGCCGGTGACCCCAGAAACAAGTGCCGTGCCCCTTCTGCAGCTCGGGTGGCACAGACAGTAGCTCTGCGCAATCCCTTTACTACAGGGACAAGATGCCAAATTCTGAGCATTGCGAGTGTGTCCACAGGGGCATCTCAAGTTGCTCGACTCCTGTGTTTAACTGTCTCCCACCTGTTGTCATTTACAAAAAGTGATAGCACATGTTCCGGACCAAGCCAGAGGTGTGCCACAGAAGCACAGTAAGCGCTCACAGGGCCCACGATGAAAGCCAGGACATGACAACGGGTTAAAAAACAAACAAAACGACAGCTGGAAATAACCATCATTTTTCAAGAACATTTATACATCTTTTTAATTAGATTAGCTTTACAAGCAACTTGAGCTCTTTCATAAGGAAACACTGCTTTTCAAATTACATGACTTTATAGTCTGTCTTGAAATTCTTTGCCTGCTACTGATAAAGGTCTGTGTTTTACAGCTGGTTAATGTGTTGAATAAAAACAGTATTATGAAGCTTCATCTTTAACCAGGATTAACACATATAGGCCACAAATAGTTTTAAATTTTGTTTTAAATAGTCTTGCTTGGTGACGAGTTAACGGTCCTGCTAACATGAAGTGAACAGATTTTTTAAATGGATATTAAAGAAATGGCTGTCCTGGTTTCTGGATCTTTTCACCAGGATTTCCAAGAAGGTATATAAACTTCTCCAAAAAATATACAGTGTAAGACCTGTCGGCAAGCACAACAGGGACAGTACAGGGCGGTACTCTGTGCGCCCGCAGAGGCCATCGTCCGGGTGGCACGTGGGCTCCCAAAGTAAAGGGCTGTTGCTGTACATCCTGACAATCAGACAAACCTCCCACCAGCATAAACGATTCCTACAAACCCTAAAAAATGGTAGTGCTTTGAGCTGTGGCCTGACGCAGCACACCGCGCTGCAGACCGGGTGGCAAAGCCTTGCACTCCCAGGTCGGGCAGCAGAGGCACTTACTGGCGAGGTGTCGCTGAGCACCTGGGGAGGGAGGACCGGAGCAGACCTGAACATAGGCGAGGAAGACAACTGAGCTTTCTCCTGCAAGTCCCCGAGTGAGACCCCAGTACTGAACATCCACCCCCAAGTCCACTGTCAGGCTTGATTTTTTTTCATGTTTTACATGAACAATAGCAATCTTAATAAAAATTACTGAGCTTTCCACAGAAAAGGTCTCTAACTGAATACAAACTATACAGATGCTGAAACTGTCCTAAGTTGAAGTAGACAGAAGTAAGTCTGTATACTCACATTTTGGCAAAGAAGATGAGGACAGAGACAGAAAACCCAAAGGGGCAAGATCTTATGTCCATAATTCATACAAAGTATGGGTACCACCCTCGGGCCCTGCTGAGGAGCCTACGGAAGTGAAGCCTGCACTGTCCATCCGATTCAGTTTTGTTTTTGTTTTCGTTTTTTTGCATACTGGGGACAGAACCCAGGGCATTCACACTGAGTTACCTCCCAGCCCTTTACTTTTTGAGACATAGTCTTGCTGAATCACTAAGTTGTCCAGACTGGGCTTGGACTTGCAGTCCTCCCGTAATGCTGAGATTACAGGTGTGTACCGCCACGCCCAGCTCCAATTTGTTTTTTTAAATATCAGATGTCTGGGAGGTCTGTGTGATTGCGTAATATTCCCTCTTTTTCTAAAAAGTAAAAAAAGATCCATAAAACATAAAAATAAACTATCTGGTTTTACACTGTGTTTCTCTAAGCTAAACATACATCCTTCAGCACTGGTCAGAAGGCCGCGTCACATGAGGGGACACTGTGCAGCTGTCTGAGGAGCCGGGGACGCGAATCTACAGCTCCGCATCCGTTTCACTGCCTCTACCACCTCCCCTGGACACTTCAACAGAAACAGGGCTCTGCTCTGCAGGGCAGATGCAGTGCAGGACCAAGGAAAAAATGCAGCGGTGAATTTGGAAGTACAGTTACTTGAGGAGAAGCAGGAGGAAACGTCTTCAGTCGAGACACTGTGTCTCCTGCTACAGGAGACATCTGAGAACGGGAGAAAGCCCTTTATTTTAGGAACTTGATGCTGAGGGCAACCTCAAGTTCATTTACTGCCAGTCATTTTAGTTTTTTGTTTTAATTTATCTTAAAAGACTACATCCTTCTTTTTGTGTATTTTTTCTTGTAAAACATTTTACTCAGCAATCAATGGTGACTGTTTTACTATTAGGTTTCATTATTAACAATGTCAAAAAATGACAGCAGCAATCTTTAAAGAGTTCAATTAGTGTAAGACAGGACGACAAAACAATCTGGGTTTTCAGTTGGTTCTTAAAGTGCTCCTTTCCTTTAAGTCAAAAGAAAATTAGTCATCAGTCACTGGCAACAATCATTGTAAGAGGTCTTTTAGGGCAAAATTTAATAGTACGAAGTTTACAAAAATAGATTGATGTTATTTTGAGGAATAATACTGTAATTTTTTTCTCAATTCAGTTTTGATAAATTGTACCTAATCATACAAAAATTACCCCAAATTCAAATTTGATATAAAAAAGACATGAAATGAACTCAGCTAGATGACAGATCTGGCAAAATATAAGAATGAAAAGTTCTATGTAGGGCACTTATTTCAGGTCCAGATAGAACAGCCATTTTCTTTCGATAGCGTCTCCTCTTCCTGTCAGCAATCCCAGCTCGCAGCTGGCCGTGCGGCGGCCTTCTGCTCGGTGAGACGTGGGAAGCCGCTCCTGCTCCTGGCGGAGCGCTGGCCAGCCCCCTCCGCTGCCGCCGTGCCCCGGTCCTTCATGTCACGTGCCATCAGGCAGCGCCCAGAGTTCAGTGAGGAGTGCTGCTGGGCCACGAGCCACGCTAGGCGTCCTTACTGACTGAATCTGAAGGCTTGTTGAGTTCCACCCTCACGCCTTTCTCACCTGCAAGGGAAAAGCACACGCTTATTTGCTAAGCCCCAGGTAGCCACTGCATCCCACTGTGTTCCCAGCACCGGGGACAGTACCACAGCCACGGGCCCTGCCCACGCCACCCTTGACTTTCTCCTGTGACAGGGCCCTTCCTCAGAACTAGGCTCTCTACAAAGAGAGAATGATTTTGCCTTTTTTCTTTTTAGAGCAATACTTTAAAGGAGTAGAGTGTTCAGTGTCACCGAAAGCAGACAAATAATGGCTGACGATACACAGGAAATGTACCCACGCTTAATTTTTACATTTCTGTAAAAGGCTGACACTGGGTTACCAATGGCTTAGGAAAATAGAGTGAATCAGTAACATGAACACTGAGCAGTCATCTAGAGGTAAGGCGGGGTAAAGGAAAGCCAGGTGAGCAGCCCGTCAGCCGAGGGACGCCCAGGGTCAGTCCAAGCGCGTGAGCCTATGTGTACCAGGGGACTCAAGGTGCCCATCTGAGGCCCTGCCTGGGCATTTCAAGTCGTCTCTTGTGCATGAACTTTCTCTGTGTCCATGTGTTCTTGGAGGGTGTGTGGTTAGAAAGGAAAGGAGTTACTTCCTTCTCAGGGCGACAGAGGCAGCCAGACCCCACGGTTTACCTGTCAATCCAGGAGCCCGTGGTTGATAGGGACAATCACAGAACAGCTTGGCTTGTATTTAAGTAACTTATTCAGGCCTCTCGGCCCCAAACTTTTCTAATTGGACAGTTTCCTCCGTGAAAGCTAACAGTGAAGACGATTTAAGAAAAATCCTTTTCTAAATAAAGTAAGGAATCTGATGAAATGTGGAATGACTTGATGCTTTGTTTTGTTTTACGACAGGGTCTCACTTTGTAGTTCAGGCTGGCCTTGAACTCACTAAGTAGCCCAGGCTGGCCTCAAACTTGAGGCGATCCTCCTGCCTCAGCCTCCTCAGCCTCCCCAGTGCTGGGATTATAGGCGTGCACCACCATGCCCGGCTTGTGACCTGATGTTGACAAGGACTGTCTGTCCTAGATTTTCTGAAAGCACCTCATGATTGCAGGGTATCTTTGTTCCGGTCTGCCCTGGCCCCAAATGGTGTTTACCTGTTAGATATTTTACTTTAGCTCGTGCTCGCTCATCTGCATCAAAATACCAAACAGTTATTGCGTACCTAAAAGAAAATTTAGAATAGCATAAGAATGGTCACACTGGGGAGAGAGTGGCTTGGTGTCATGATGAGAAGTTAAACCTGAAAATGCCCCCAACATGCCCAGGCTGGACACCTATTAGAGGGCAAAGGAGCCCAAGAAGAACTCACTCACCCACAGCCTCAGAGTGACAGGCACAGGCTGGGGAGGGGCCCGAACTGATGCTACACAGGGGACCAGTCCTTAGGCCTTTCTGAACACCTACTCAGCCTGGGCCCTCCTTGGGCAGAAACGGGCAGCAGAGGAGAAAGGACCGTGTCAACAGCAAAGCAACAGAGGAGCAGGGACAGGTAACAAGCTGCAGGCATGGCCCTGGAGTCCCTCAGCAAGAGGAGGCCAGCACCCTGCAGCTTCACAGGGAAGGATAACCGTGTTTAGTCTAAGTGGAGTCATCAAGGAAGAGTTAAACTATGCTACGTAGTTTTTAGAGTTATGAAGATGACACTATCCCGATGCTTAGAGTTTGTCTACACTTCACGTATCTGAATCATTTCACTTCTATGCACCATCTTACTCCACAGACCTAGGAGGCCACCTAGTTTATCAGGTCCCACAAAGCACAGCAGCCCTGATGCAACAGGAGGAAAAGTGCCCAGCGCGTGAAAGGGGAAACACGCTCCACGGTGCTGTTTCCGCAGAACACAGCATTGCAGTACGTATCTTGTGGGCTCCAGTCAGTGTTCACAGGAATAAGCAACGCTGGCCAAATAAAGAGGCGGAGAGCGGCCCCAGGTGAACTATGCACAAGCTTAAGAGTCAAGGGCACAGCAGAAACAAGACCGCCTCTGGGGTGCTGAGGAGCACAGGTCCCTGGCTGGTGCCCTGACTGCGCTTGTCTTCCCAGGGTGCCACCACCTTTCCTGCTACCAAGCCGCCTCTATTTTCTTACCTACCTGGAGAGGGGTTTGGGTGTGTGACACTACCTCTTCTCTCTATGTCACAAACCTTCACTTCACAGTTAAGAGGAGTCTGGTATACAGACTGGCTCCTCTAAACCCAGCGCCTTCGGGGCATGCGCCACAGCTGCCGCCGGAATCCAGCTCCCAGCCCATCTGCAGCAGCCTGGCTTCGAGTCCGTCCTCCTCCTAAACCTTCCACCGCGACTCCACCATCTGCCCTGTCCTCTCTTCGCTGCAGCCCTCCTCGCCACTGGCCTTAGTTTACCACCCCAAAATGACCAGCACCTCTCCAGCCAGAAGGCTACAGCTGAGCCAGACCCAGGCCTCCATCCACAGGAATGCTGTGCAGTCGTTTCTGGGTCAGAAATAGCAAGGGAAGCAGTGGGGAGAAAGGGGGCACCCAGAAAGGCCCAGGGCATGACTTTTACGGTCGCCCTGATTTGCACTGGGGGGGCTGGTCTTTGAGTGCTCTGCCACAGAATGCTCAGCCTGCTACCACTCTGTGACTGACGGCGGTGGCCGTAGGGTTCAGAGGCAGGGAAGTGGTGGAGGGTGGACAGTACAGCCCAAGAGCCTGGGCCCCACCTGCTGCCTCAGACACCAGTGGGGACCCACGCAGTCACCGCTCAGCCCACGCCCCTGTGGCCCCCACGGCCCTTGGCCAGGTACAGCAGCGAGTGCCGCAGGACAGGCCCAGTGCCCTGAGCCTTTTCCTTAACACAGAGCGGTGACTGCAAAAGGGGGCTGCTTCTGCCAATGTCTGCGATACCTTGTGTTTTAACGATCTAAATGTTTTAATCTCAAGTCGTCACAAGTGGTAAAAACAAAATTTAAAAGAACGCAGTATTATAACTGTTTAGTACATTACATCCTGGACAGAAGTCTAATGAGACTGAGGCTGAGTCCAGGAACAGGGTGATTTTCCCAACACCCCTCATCCCTGGCAGCTTTTCCTTCCTCTATTTCTCTTCACTGCTGCCCCTGGTTACCCCTTAGTTTCCTACTCTGTATCCATTTTCCCACATTACCGCTCCTTACCACCTTTTAAAGATCACTCTCTCCTTCACCTTTCTATCCCCAAGGAAAACACATGGAATGGGATGCAGCTAACAGGTATCCATACAGCACAAGGGGCAGGGCTCGGAGGAGGCAGCAGACTTCTAGCCCTGACCTGAAGGACTGACACCCACGCAAATGAAGGCAACTGTGAACCTGTGGGTCCGTCCTGCGATCTCCGCCATCCTACCACACAGGTAGGTTACCAGCTATCTGGTTTGGATCCTAGGGTACCCCTCCTACCTCACGCCTTCAGAGGCTGGGCTCTGGGAGGGGGACCGATCAGGGGGGTTGCTGTGCTCATCAGTGGGTTCACCCATTGACTCACAGCTGAATGTGCTGTGAGGATACGGGGCTGGCTGGAGGTGGTCACTGTGGCTGACCTGGAAGGGCGCATTCTTGTTCCCAGCTCCTCCCTTCTCTCTCTGCTTCTTGGCCACCACGGTGTGCGCGGTTTTCTTCTGCCAGGCCCTTCCACCATGCTGTGTCTGCCTTGGACACAGCCCAACACACACGGACTAAACTCTGAAACCATGAGCCAAGTAAACCTGTCCTCCCTAAGTTGGGAGCTTCTGGTGCTCTGTCCCAGCAACAGGAAAGTGCCTAGTACAGCGGGTACAACCTGCAGTCCCCTGGCCCACCATCCACTTAAGAAGTGTACGTAAAGGAATACTACCTTGTGGCATATGCTGGTTGTACTTCATGAGGGTTGCGACGGTCAGACCAGAAAAACAGCAGTCTATCAAATTTGGGTTCAATGTCAGCAAACTGGGCTTTGCCTTCTGGAAATATTCGAAGTATACCTCCACTTACCTAGGAAAAGAGCCAAATATGTAAGTGGAAGCAACCAAAACTGCCACTGTGTTCAATTCAGAGAGGAAAAAACTATTTCAATGAATCAAAATTCTTTTTTGGGGGGGTGTCTTTTTGAGACAGGGTCTCACTATGCAGTTCAGGCCTTGAGCTCACTTTGTAGCCTGGACTGGTCTCAAACTTGCAACGATCTTCCTGCCTCAGCCTCCCGAGTGCTAGGATTACAGGCATGTGCCACCATGCCCAGCCTGAATCAAAATGCTTAATTGGAATATTAATATCTCAATTAACAAGGTATAGAGGTGAGTTGATGTTCTTCTTTTTTTTTTTTGAGATATGGGGATGGAACCCAAAGCCTCTGCACTGAGCTATATCCCCACTCCTTTTTTACTTTGAGACAGGGTCTCACTAAATCAAATTGCCCAGGCTGGGTCTGAACTTGAGAACCACCTCCCCTGGCCTCCCAGTGAGTTGCTATTTTAAGTACATAGTCTGAGCTGAACATGGTGGTGTACAACTGTAATCCCAGCACACAGGAGACTGCGGCAGGAGTATCACCTTGAGTTTGAGGCCAGCTTGGGCCATGTAGTGAATTCAAGGCCAGCCTGAACTACGTAGTGAGACCCTGTCTCAAAAAATACAAAAACACAATTCAAAAAACCCCCTCCAAAAAAACAAACAAAAAAGTACACAAAGTACATGCTCTGATGCAAGGAAAAATCTATTTATTTTGCTTCAGCGATTTTTGTAAATACATAATGAAATAAATATTGTCTGAATTCCAAAGTCTAAAAATGATGCTCAAGAGTTCTGAAAACAGCTTTTATTTATGCCTGCTAATGATCTCCTTAACTCACTTGTAAAACAGACATGTCAGGTTACCTTGATGAATGGCTTACCTTGACTCACTGTGTGGAATAAACATTGTACATTCCTTAATGCTCAACAGACCTGTAACAGGGCAGTCACAAGCTTAATGCCTTTTTCTTTTTTCAGTACTGGGAATTGTACTCAGGACCTCATGTTTGCCAGGCAGGTGCTGTGCTGCTGAGCTATAGCCCCAGCCCAAGCTTAATGCCTTTTATTTAAAGGTTTCACAAAAAAAAAAAAAAGGAGAAGGAGGAAAAGCAGGAAGAAGGGGAAGGAGAAGTAGAGAGAGGAGGAAGAAGAAGAAGAGGAGAAGGAAGAGGAGGAGGAGGAAGAAGAGGAGGAAGAGGAGGAATAGGAGGAGGAGGAAGAAGAGGAGGAAGAGGAGGAATAGGAGGAAGAGGAGGAGGAGGAGGAGGAGGAGGAGAAAAAAACCAGGCATGGTCACAAATGTCTGTAATCCCAGCACTCGGGAGGCTGAGGCGGGAGGACTGCTGTGAGTTCAAGGCGAGCCTGAGCTACAAAGTGAGTTTAAGGCCAGCCTGAAGTGCACAGTGAGACTTTGTCTCAAAAAGGAAAGAAAATGGTTTCAGGGTATGAGCAGAAAGTGCCATCACCCATCATTTACCCCACCCTCAGTATCGTCGGCACCATGCTCCTCAGTGGCACCCTCGCTCTCCTGTCCACTCTGTGTGGGACACAGAGAGGACTGACGTTTATAACTCGAGTCCACACACAAAGGACTTCTTGTCCACTTCGGCACACCACTTGCTGAGATTTGTGCTGTCTGAACAGCACCCTTGGGAACCCTGGAGCCTAGGTGGGCACTGGGAGGAACCAGACAGACCTGGTCTTTATGTTCAGAAGTTTTGGGAGACTGAGGCTGGCAAGATCCACTCTTTACCTCTAGTAACTTAAGCAGGAAGACTCCCATAGCTGAAGGGAATTTACGCCCTGATCCAGATGTCACAGAGCCTGTGCCATGCCTAGAATGGGAAGTGAGAGGGAACGGTCCCAGGGCTGGTCCCTCCAAGTGCCAGACTCTGGCTCCTGGGGCCCTGCCCACCTCCCTCAGGTGCAAGTTGTCAGCAAGTCCCTGGGCCTCCGCCATCCATCTAAAGGACTCCAGATCGAGACCACCTGGCCATTCACCAAGAAAAGCTCAGGTGCTGTGTGGACAGTGTTTAAGGAGGAACAGCTGCCTGAAACTTTGTTCTTACCTTGGAAACCTTCCCCACCTCTACACCAGTGGCTTCCTACACGTGATCTGTCCTAACCCACGGTACAAGCAGCAGCAGCAGTCTGTGGAGCCCTCCGCTCTGACCCAGGACGGTCTGCATGCCGCACACACCAGTGCCATGGGGCAAGGGAAGTGTTTTGCTCTGTGTATAAAAATGCCAAGAGCTGACTTCTGCCTATGTGCTAATTTAAAACCATAATGGCCTTATCTAGGTCTACGTGACTAAAACAGTAGCCTGGAAAATGCCTAACAACATGTAAAAGTTAAGAGTTGATAAGTATGTTTCTGGTTTTCCAGACATTCACCAAATCTGACAAAGCATCCATTTGGTTGTTTTTCCTCTGGTGTGAGGGACTGAACCCAGGCGCACACGCTGAGCCTGAGCCACACCCCCAGTCTTTTAAAAATGTTTCATTCTGAGGCAGGTCTGGTTAAGCTGCTAAATTGCCCAGGCTGGGCTCCTGCCTCACTATGCAGAGTGCTGAGATTGTAAGTGTGTACTACCACATCTGGCTCCAAAAAATCAATATGAGCTGGAAATGGTGGTGCACAGCTGTAATCCCATCACTTGGGAGGCTGAGGCGGGAGGATCACTGTAAGTTTAAGGCCAGCCTAGGGTACATAGTGAGTTCAAGGCCAGCCGGGACTACATATCAAAACCCTATCTCCCCCGCCAAAAAAAAATTTTTTTTAAATTAAAATATCAATTCTAAGTTTTAACTAAAATCAGACCAAGGGGCTGGGGATTTAGCTCAGCGGCACAGTGCCTGCCTGGCAAAAGCAAGGTTGTGAGTTCGATTTCCGGTACCAAAACAAAACAAAACAAAACAAAAATAAATAAAATCAGACCAGTATGTTATATGCCTTGGGCTCACGGTGAATGAATTACCATTATTTCTCCACTTCAAACTCTGAAAGCTCTAGAGCCTGAAAAACCATGATTGTTGGCATCAAGCCTGAGGATCTGCCCAGCAGTCAACCACCTCCACGTGAACTCGGATTAGGACAATGGAAGGTCTTTAGGGCCTAGAGCACACTGTGAGGCCGTCTCACTTCAAACACTTCTAAAGAGAGGATTCCGCCTCTGACCCTTAGGACTTACGTGGTTTCTCCTTGTGCACTGGGGGAGGGGTTGTGTTTTAAGTTATTTGATTTTTAGAAACTTGGCATGTGTTCACTGTGTGAGAATCTACTAGGCTGTACACTGTGCTCACTTGCACCAGATGAATGTTTTACTTTAGGTCTGAGAAAAACTTGCCCTACCAATCAGTCACTAGCCTGCAGTGCGGTAACACTTGACATACTTTCAAAAATCACTTAATGAAGCTTAAGTTAACATTAAAGGAACAGTTTTAAAACAAGAAATGCCATATACTGCATATTCACACTAGCTTCGCAGGGCTGGCCAATGTCAATACATTTCTAGTTTCCCCACAACTAGGGAAAGACAGAATCCGGCTTCAGTAGTCAGCAACCGAAGGCACACAACATCTCCATAAAAGTGCGAAGAATAAAACAGCAAAGGATCTGTAACAACTACTCACAGGTCATCTCCATCAAAAGCTGTTAGTTAATAAAGTCACTTTTTTATAAAAGTTAAAATTTTGGACAAATTCTTCAATATCGGGAATAACTGAATCTATTTTTCTGATATACTAGTACTAGCATAGCTGCATTGAGGTATAATTGATATACCAAAAGGGTCCTATTTCATGTACATAATAATTTGATGTGCTTGGACATTATTATGCACAGACTTGGGATACCACTAATTGCCACAATCAAGATGAAAAGCACACTGTCGCCTCCCAAGATCCCCTCCTCTTTTTTGATGGTTAGAACACCGAACACAAGATCTACTCTCTTAAATTTTTAAATGCACAACACTGTATTGTTACCTGCAGGTATCTCACATTGCTGTACGTGATACACCAGGTATTTATCTTATGGATGTTGGTGCTATCTTTGTTTTCAGATATATTACTATGCATGTATGTATTTATTTATTTATGAGACAGGGTCTTGCTCTGTAGTTCAGGCTGGCCTCAAACTCATGGTGATCCTCCTGCCTTAGCGTCCCACCTCCTGAGTGCTGAGATTACAGGTGTGCACCACTATGCAGCGCTCAGTGATTATTTTATAAAGACCTACCCCAATAGCCCTGAAACAAGTCTGAGGGAAGTCTCACCTAATATTAGAAATATGACTCTTAATGTTTGTGAAGAAGAAAACCCACGAGAAGAAGACATAAACGCTCGATCGAGCTGCCTACCTTGGCATCCCAGTCTTTATTTAGATAATATATACATGTCACACATCTTCCATCTTCATTTGGATTATCCACGTGACGAACATAGCCTGTTCCATTGCCTGGGTAACAAGCAACCATGGCCTGCAACAACAACAGTGATTTTTAAAGTCTCTGTGTGAACCTAAGGGAGAATAGCAATGCATAAAAAACAGCTCTGAAGTTTGGCTGCTCTGACAATTCACTACATTCTTCTAACAGAATCACATGGCAGGTAAGAAGCCAGAAAGCTGCTCCATGCCAACATTTATAAGGAAGCAGGAAGGTGGGGGACACCCGATGGCCTGGGCACTTTGGCAGACAGTGACAGAAGGGAGAGCACTGGAGGTCAGGAGCAGCACAGCTGTGGACCCTGGGGGGCGGCCACAAGCTAGCACCTCTCTTGAAAGAGCAGATGTTGGGATCACTGGACCTTCGCCTACTCTGACAGGCAAGGTCTGGAGAGTTCTGTCCTGCTCCGTGCAGTCTCCTCTTTCTCCCTGCTCAGAACACCAGTGTCCCATGCCACAGAGGTGGGCGGTCCCAGGCATTCCGATGCCTTTGCCGATGCCTTTCTCAAAGGCATCGGCAGCGAGGATGAACATCGCACATTACTTATCTGCAGTTCAGGAGACGGAAGCTGGGACCTCATACATGCTATCCAAGTGCTCTACCTCTGAGCTCCACCCTTACTGAGGATCAGCAAGAGTTAAATGGCTAACTCTAAATATCAACTCATTTGTTTGTGATTACAAAAGAAGGATTAAATAAAAAATTATTATTATTATTATTTGTTTTTTTTTCCAGTACCGGGAATCAAACTCACAACCTTGCCCTAGCCAGGCAGGCGCTGTGCCACTGAGCTAAATCTCCAGCCCGTTAAATAAAAAGTTAGTATGTGACAATCCACCCCACTCCTTTTTTTGATACAGGGTCTCACTTTGTATTGCAGGCTGGCCTTAAACTTACTTTGTAGCCTTGGCTGGCTTTAAACTCTCACCATTAGTTAATAAAGTCAGGTATTTAGTTAATAAACTCACCGATCCTCCTGCCTCAGCCTCCTGAGTGCTGGGATTACAGATACGTGAACCCCTCTTTAAATCAGGGGAAAAAAACCAATTTTTGCTCAACCTGTAATAAGACATGGTTCAAAAGACTGCTGGGTGTTAGGCAGGGAGCGGCTGAGGGAGCCCCAATACAAAGCACAGAGTCACTGACATCATGTAGGCTTGTGTGCTTCTTGATCAAATGAAATTCCAGGACTGATTTAAAAACATTCCCACCAGGCATGGTGGTGCACACCTGTAATCCCAGCACTCAGGAGGCTGAGGCAGGAGGATCATTGTGAGTTCGAGACCAGCCTGGACTACAAAGTGAGCTCAAGGCCAGCCTGAACTGCATAGTGAGACCCTGTCTCAAAATGACAAAAAGAAAAAAAAAAAGACAAAAAATAAATAAATAAAATAAAAACATTCTCAAGCCTGTAATCTTAGCACTTGAGAGGCTGAGGCAGGGGGATCACTGGTGAGGCCAGTCTAGGCTAGATAGTCAGTTCAAGGTCAGCTTGAGATACACAACGAGACCCTATCTCAAAAACAGAAAAAAAAAATGAAACCTCCCAGGAAAGAAAATGCAGACAAAGATGTTCAGTGTTGCCAGTTATTCTTGAAATCCTTTACTTCTCTATGTATTAAGGTCAATGAATCCACATAAATCTATCAAACATTAAATTACTCTTGATTATATATTAAACCTTCCCTCCTCTCCGGAACCGGGAATCGAACTCAAGACCTCGCGCTTGCCAGGCAGGCGCTGTGCCGCTGAGCTAAATCCCCAGCCCCTTCCATTACATATTAAGATAAATGACAAATGCTAAATTTTAAAATTCATGTTCAACTGACCAGAATAACAATGTCTCTGGTTCCATCTCAGTGACTAGGAAGCATTTTAAACTTCCATCTTTTTTTCCTGTGCAGTACTGGGGATTGAACTCAGGACCATCATACTAATCTACATCCTCAGCCTTTTTCTTTTAGACAGAGCCTCACTAAGTTGCTGAGGCTAGGCTCAAACTTTCAATCCTCCTGCCAGCCTCCCAGAGTACTGGGGTTATAGATGTGTATTACCTGCATCCCAGAAAAGGAAAAAATCTGGTTGCCTTAGGCACTCTGAATTGCTTTTTATAAGAGCAGATTTCTTGGTGACCTTCGGTATGTCTTTATTTCTTGCTAACTGTAGACAGTCTGGCAGGCTTCTTCTAGTGCTGGGGTTTCGCAAGACCGGAGATGGCAGGAGAGAGGGAGTGGAAGATTATTCTATGAACAGTGAGCCCAAGTGATTCCATCACCAGCTGCCAAAAAAAGGCTCACAGAGCAGGGCTCAGGCAAAAACCATAGGGCCACAGAGTTAACATCAGAGTTAACTCAGGTGCAGTGACCTAAGAAAGGCATGGTGAGTTAAGGAGAGGAAAAGCCTGGACTCGACTCCTCTCGACATTCATCTCACCTCTGAAGGAAAGGCGGCTACTGGTGCCTCTGGTGCTAAGAAAGGGAATCCTTCTCCAGTTTACCCCATCCATTCCGCCCAGCCACTTAGCAAATTGGTATTGAGACCTACTATGTCCAGGACAGGGCTTGGGTGAAAGTGATGAAAAGAAACCAAGTCTCTTGCATCCATTTATTATGAAATGTGGTCCAATAAACATATGTAGTGCAATGTTCAGGAGCGGGAAGTTCTCTTTTTACAAGCTATGAAAGAAACTGAATAAGGCTGCAGACAATGGCGGGCGGCATGAAATTCTAGGACACCATGAGGGCGGAAGTCAGTTTCAAGGTGCTGCCATCTGAGCAGGCAGGCCACACCCACGGGGGACAGAGGTGCCACTTAGGAGCGGTGGCTGCTGCTGGGTGGTGTGGAAAAAAAGAGCTGGCAAGGGAGACTGGGCCAAACAAGCAGGGCCATGAGTCCAGAGAGAAGAAAGCCATGCTGGGGGAGGCAGGTGGTAAGCCAAGGTGGGAATCACATCTGACCGATGCTTCAGGAAGAGCAGTTCCCATTCTGTATGAACAAAAACTAACAAGGGCAATAACCTGAGTATCACTCACCACTGACATTTACTGGGTGTTCACTATCTGCCAAGTGCTCTTCTCAGCAATTCCTGTGCAGTAACTCACCTGGCACACCTGGCGAGGTAAACACACTGATTCTCATCTGCCTTTAATTGTTAAGGAAACGAAGGCAGGTGGAATCTAGTTCACAACCCGTGTAATCAGCCCCAGCTAGACTGCTGGGAGGGAGGACCGCGGCAGAGGACCACTGAGGCTCACTGGCAGGTGGGAAGCAGAGAGGAAGAAGCATAAGGCCAACTCTATAAATAAGTGATGCAGTTGCCACTAACCACAACCCAGCCCTGGACGAAACGGAAAGGAGCAGTGCTGACAGCATGCGTTGGGTAGGAAGGGCATCCCAGCACGGTCAAGAGGAGCCGGGTTCCCCAGAACGGAATAGACGTGAGGATCTGGTACATCAAAATTCCAAGTGAGAGTTTTAAAAAAGGATGCAATAAAAGTTACAAAGTTTCAAAGAAAGTTTTAATGAAATAAAATCCATTAAATTGCATTACATCTTTTCTTTTTCATTTCTTTCTCTTTTTTTTTTGAGACAGGATCTCACTATATAGTTTAGGCTGGTGGCTGGCCTTGAACCCTGCTGATCTTCTTGCCTTAGCCTCCTAACTGCTGAGATTATAGGCATGCACCGCCATGCCCAGCTGCATCCTGACATAGCTCGGTCACCTGCATCTGAACATGTTTGTAAGGGCGGTGTTACAGTTTAGATCTGGAATGTCCCCTAGAGGTCTCGTGTGCTCGCCTTGGAAGGTGACTGGGCCACCCGGGGTGCTACACCCACCAGTGCACTGAGTTCATCGCTCAAAGCGCTGCTGGGAGGGGGACTCTGGCCGGAGGAAGCAGGGCCGCACTCCGCCTCCTCCCGGCTTTCTGCTTCCAAATGCCATGAGGTGCCATATCCCAGCACCATGCAGCTAGCACGGCGGCCCTCGCCACGCTGGCTTTGCCTAGCGCTCGCTCTCCCCTGCTCAGGGGCTCAGGACACTGGACGTGAGCGAGGAGGAGCGGAAAGGAGACACGCGTGCCACGCAGCCCGCATTTAACCCTCCACTCAGTGAACTCACTAGTGTCAGCGGCAGGAAAGGTGGCAGTCAACAGCTCCAGTTGGAAAGGGATAAAAGTGAACAGCAAACTAGAAAGCCTGAAAAGGAGGCAGCACAACTCCCGCGTGTAGCTGAGGCCGTGCTCCTGATCTGCCGTCTCAAAGAGACCCCAACTTTACATACTTCCACTTCCCAGGGGGAAAACCTATTCAACATAAGCCAAACAAGCGAGCACTACCTTTCTTCCTCTCTGATATGAAAATATACATGCTCAAGGATGTTCTCAAGATAGGAAACACCGTACATGTGTTTCTCCCCCTGAGAATAAAAGGAAGGAAGAGGCTTGCAGTACTTTGGAGTCTGAAGGTGTTTATTTCTAGCATTAGAGGGCTTCAATATGAAGGTGAACCAGTGAACTTTTGTTGTTTTTAAAATTTTCCTTTTTGAAGTGAATTATTTAAAAACAGAAATTCACAGCTAAGAGAACTAAAAGTGGATGGTAGGTTACGTGTAGCCTCCAATGTCAGCAGTTGCTCTGGAAAAGAACCTAACATGGTAACCACGCACAGGCTCGGCCAGGTCACAGAAGGCACAGCTAAGGTCGGCACACGGGTCAGGGTAATACGCACCACAAGAGGGCATTCAAGTGCCCAGATGCAAAGACATGACTACCGCGTGGGAGACGAGACAGAGACAATAACAGTGAGCAGGACCTTGAAGGAGAAAAACAGAGGTCTGCCAGGGTCGGAGAAAGTCCAAGCACTAGAGGAAACACAGTATTTGCATAAATGGAGACTCGAGAAGACCCAAACAGCAAGCACCACGGCAGATGTGCGGCAGGGACGGGGCAGAGCAGGAGAGCAGGCAGGCGGCTGGGAAGTGATCACGGAGTTGCTGAGCACGGTCACCTTGCAGGCCAGAACTGGCCAGACGT